CAGGTATCTAGGAAAGACAGGACTTAACATTTCCTTGTAAGTAATTACCAAACCTGGCTCTTCCACCACGCCACCCCCAGCACTGTCCTTAGTGGGGAAGAAATCTCAGTTTGTTATGTGTGCAGGAGCCTTCCAGGTGTGTTTAACTTCGAGAGCATCAGAAGAGTGACTTCTGAGGTCCACTACTTAACATTCTGGCCCGAGGGCAGATACTCCAGTGTATTTCCAGTAAAGTCTTAATTAGTCGACCAAATGCTTTATGGAATCATGGCATAGAATTTGAACTGGGATAGAGTTTGCAGAGAGAGTTACCTCATTTTACAGACGAGAGACCTGAGTCCTGAAGGTGTTAAGTTGCTTTCCCAAGGTGTCATATGTGGCAGCAGTGGAGGGATGTAGGATCCGGGTCCCCTGTGCCCCGTGCACCCCACTTCTGGACGTTGTCTCTCTAATCCATTCTTGCCTTCTAGTGCTGTTAACAAAGAAAGGCACTTTTCTTGTGAAGATTGTAATGGGAATGTCAGTGGAGGCTTTGACGCTTCAGTGTCTCAGGTAGGCACTTTACTTGAGTTGCTTTCTTTCCTCCGGTTCTCCCTCCTGATATTTGCTGAGCGCCTTCCACAAGCTGGGCATTCTGTTTGGTGGACTTTGTGTGGGATTCAAAAAATGAGGTCGTGTGATCCTTACTCTTAAGGCGCCTGCATTCTTACGGGGGAGCCAAGACATGAATGCAGACAGTGATAAAAATCGAGGCAGGTTAAACTCTTAAATGGGTGTGGTTACCAATTTGGGACAGTGACGTGATTGACTGAAAGATACCAGTAGATTCGGCTAGAGGATGTAAAGCCTCTTCAGGAGCAAAGAGGGCAGAGACTGTTGCCCAAAGCAGGGGTAGCATGAACACAGGTGACGTGCTGGGAGCGCACAGGGTGTATGTGGGGAGTGGCATGTGGTGTAGTCCAGCTGGAGGGCAGGGATGCAGGGGAGCGGGGAGAGGCAGGATTGGAAAGAAAGATAGCTGTATGCTGGGAGGCTCTGAAGGCTAAGCTAAAGAGTTTCACCTTTGCCTGGTGAGAAGTGATACACCTTTGAAGACTGTTGATGAGGGGAGGGTGTTTTCTCATCCGTAAAATGTGGGTAATAATTGTATCTATCTTACAGAATGGTTATGAGAATTAAATGAGATTTCTCTTGTAAAGTGCTTACCATAGTAAGCAGAGTGAGCATTCAGTAAATGTTATTACTAGTCTTAAGTCCCTGGAGGGTTTTGATAGAGTCTTGAGGGGTAGATGGATGTGTCACGTGATGAGGGTAGATGAAAGTGTTATAAAGAACTGTTTCCGTTATGAATATGTAACAGGCGTTTGCACCTAACTGTTCCGTGCTGGGGGATTTTATGTGCACTTTGGTTGTGCGTAGCTGTTTCCCAGTGAGCATGGGAGAGAGCGCTACAGCAGAGGGCTGGGACGTCTGAGTGCTGGAGTCAGGCAGACTGTGAGTTCAAATCCTGGTTCCCCTGCTTGTTAGCGGTGGTGCTCGGGCAAGTGGTTTGTCTTATTCTCAGCTTCCTCATTTGTCAGTCGATAATCACAGCACCTGCCGCTCCCAGGGTGAGTCGTGGTAGCTTCATCCCCTTCTGGGCTTAAATAGAGTGGACGCTTTGAATCTTCAGCTTACTTCTCAACAGTGTTACACACAGTTGGACACTCTGTTCTTCTCTTTTAAATTAAAAATTTTGTTGTGAAGTATCTCATTCATATAGAAGAGTTAAAAAAACCTAGACGTGCGCTCCCGGTCATAATAATAAAATGAACATCTGTGTAACCGCCACCCAGATTTGAGAAATGGAACGTTGCCAGGACTTCAGAAGCCTGTGTTGCCTGCTTGGATCACATTCGTCCTCCCTTCCTGATTCTGACCTCCGTGATAATCATCCCCTGCCTCTCTGTGGTCTTAGCATCTCTGTATACAGTCCGGCAACGTGTTATTTAGTTGCCTGCTTTTCAGCTTTATACTTAGAGTCATACATAATACTTTGTCATTTTATGAAATCCCAGAAGATATAGTCTTCAACTTAATTCTTTTGTTCAACATTGTGAGGTTCTTCTGTGCTGTGTGTCCCTCTGGTTTATTTAGTTTCAATGTTGCATATTATTCTGTGCTATGTCTGTACTAGAGGTTAGCCCGTCTAATACCGACTGCTTCCAACTTTGTGATTGTGAACAGTGCTGCCATGAGCGTTCTTCGCCTTCTCCCCTGGTGCACGTGGGTGAGAGCTGCTCCTCGGAGTCCACCTGGAGTGGAATTGTGGGGTCACATCACATGCGTACCCATGACTTTAACAGCTGATGCCAGTTTCTTGCCTTGGTTTCCTGTGTACAACACTCTCGGGGTTGCTCCTTTGCTAGCTCACCTTCCTCTGCCAGCCCTTACGTGTCAAAGTCCC